CGGGGGAGCCGCCGGGCCGCAGCCGCCCGCCAAGCCGCCCTCTGCCTCAGCCGGCTCTGCTCGGCAGGACCCCCGAAACCGCTGCCCGGGCCCGGGCCCGGGCCCGGAGGCAGGCCCGAGGAGAACGAGCGCCGGTGCTGTCCAGCTGAGTCCCAGCTGGCGGCTGTAACGAGCGCGCCTGTCGTCACCCACGGCGCCTGTTGTCACCAGCGAGGGTTTGACCGATGTCGAGCCTTGGATCGCTGCTTCGAACCACATCACCCAAAACACAGGCGCCCAACACCCTGCTCACGGCTGAAGGCAAGCGGGCTCGGCCCAGCCATGTCCAGGCCAGGGGGCGTGTTATTTTTGTGCCACCGATGGCAAAAGCAGCTGCTCCCTTTCCCAAGCCAACCCGGGCCACAGACTCCTGCCAGCTGCCTGCTTTGCAGCTGCTCCCAGAGGGAGGAGACAGCCTCGGGTCTCCAGAGATCGCCTCCGATGCTCAAGGTGACCCACAGAAGCTGGCTTGGGTTGAGGAGAGGAAGCAGCTCCGATCTCAGCTGGAGAGCATTGCGGATGTAGGAAAATGGCTGATGGGAAAGCCTGCCCGTAGCAGTCAAGAAGAAAGAGTCTGGGAAAGAATAAAGGTGTGCAGAGCAGACAGAAGGGCTGAAAGCAAATCGGCCATGACCCGCAGCCTGGGGGTGCTGTCTGTAAGTGCTGTTACTCTGTCCTTGGGATCGTTGCGCTGCGTCTCCTCAGCCCCTGCTGGCGTGAGGATTCTGGGTAACGGTGGTCTCGGGGTATTTTCCACTCTTTTTCAGCGCTCACCATCAGCAAGTGGCCAGCCCTGGCAGGGAGGTCACCCTCCCCTTATTCGTGCACCATACCCCCCAGCTCTTGTCACGCTGCATAACCTCCTGCGCAAGCAGAAGCTGACTATGGTGGATGTGTTCAAGAGGGCTGGTACGGACAGGAGGAAGATCACAAGAGCAGACTTCATTCATGTCATCAAAGCGGTACGCAGGGAACCGAAAAGGCAGGAACTGCTGCAACTCTGCTGTATTTTCCCACGTGCAAACCCAGAGTGGTTTCCGTGGAGCAAGTTTTTGTGATGACTCTGTTGTTTTGGTTTTGGTTGCCAGACCAAAGTTCCCATCAGCGACAAGGACCTGGAGACAGTGATCATCTTCCTGGCTTCCTCAAAGACGGGAGATTTTATAAGCAATGAAGATCTGATTCAATGTCAAAAGCAGTGGCTGGAAATGACGAAAGGACAAGGCAGAAAGACCAAAACAGGTAAGAGGAGAGCACTGTGCTGGGAAAGCAGCCCTGTATCCTTACTGATGGGAAATACCGAACTGCATCCAGAATATGGTTCTCTGAGACTACTGCCCTGTAGCAGAGTGGACAGAAGGAGACTTCTGTTGGGAAAACCGTAACAGTCCAGGAGGTGTGCAATACTGTAGTTGCCCCAACTGCAGGAGACAGATTATCCAATCTTTCGGGTTTGGCTTAAAATGTGAGCCCTGAGGTTTAATGTACTGCACTGGATTTTGTTAGTTAGCATTAACCATCCAGTGGGTCAAAAGCAGACCCTTCCTCCAGCTGTTGGTGGCAGCTGGGAAACACAGGTTCTGAAGAGGTTATCTTTTAAAACCTAACCCAGACCTGAAGGCTTCTCATAGTACCTGTGTCATCCTAAGCTGCAGTTGTCACATCTGTGAGATAGGACGCATTTCGCTGCCCTTGCATTGCACTAACTGTTTTGCAGATTAAAAAGATTTTGTAAGCATGAAACACAGAACTGAATGTGGACAGCAAAACACTTTGGGAAACTGTAAAGCAGAGATGGGGACAGTCTGTAATATTTGTGTCTGAGTCAAAATCTAAAGGATGTTTTCATTCAAAGATCTGAGTCTGCTGAGAGTTCCAGTGTGCACAAAATGTAAAAGCCCTTTGCCTTAAAAGTTGGTCAGCCCTGGTGTTTCTGCTACTCTGTAACACAGTTTCTCTGGGCTTTTTGTTTTTTTGGTTTTTGATCTATATCATAGGTGTACAAGCACAGTTCCATACAACCACTTGCACAGCGGTCAGTTGTGTAACTCCTGCTGGGGGCAAAGCCAAAGAGATGAAGCCTCATGCTCCTACCGAGCCTAAAACACAGTTAATGCTGTTAGAAGCTCCCCCAGTCAACACTGAGCCAGAACGCAGATATCTAAGCTACGATGAAATGGAAGAGGCTGGAAAACAGTTCAGAGACAGGAGGCGATGGAAGAAGGTACTGTGTGTGTGGCAGGAAAACAAGGGCACCTGCATGCGCTGGTGAGCATGGGATGGTTTAGAGGACAGTACAGCAGGAAAGGACAGGGCAGGGAGCTGTCGTGAATATTAACCTCTTCGCAGTCGCTTCACCACCCAGGACTTGCAGCTGAGGTGTTAACAAGCCCTCTAAAACAGTTGGTTTAGCTTCTGAACGCTTTGGTGAGACTAATTTTTTTTATGGGTTAATGGCAAGAAAAAGATGATGTTGAAACAATTTTCATGTCTGGGGATGGAGTCTTCCCGATCGCTGGGTTGACATGCCCATTGGACTGTGATTCGTCCCACAAGATGCTGATAAGCATTTTGTCCTATTCAGTTATCAGGGTCAGTGCAAGATGATCAAACAAAAGTGTAACACCGATTCATTCACCCCAAAACACTTTATTTGGAGCATCTTGGCAAGTGCAGAGATGCACTTACCCAGCAGTGCTAACCAGGACCTGTCCTTGATTTGTAGGATAAAGATGGCCTGCTAGAATGGAAAGAAAAGTGTCGGCTGGTGAGATCTGGGGATGCAGCCGTTGATGAGCATTGCCTGCCGTCAACTGCAGAGGGTGACTTGGGAGCACTGGTGGACCAGTACCGCAGGGATTGCTTCCTGAGCTATCTGAAGAGCCTCAAGCTGTGCAGAGGACCCAACAGTCGTCTCACAGAGCTAGTGCTGCAAAAAGGTAAAGCAGAGACCAAAGGCTTGATGTGAATGTAGTAAATCTGACACGCTTGTGTCTCTTCCCAAGCTCAGAAACAGGGCTCCTGTGGGAGGGGCTGCTGCTGAAGCGTGTTTGTAGCCCTGCATGGGAATGGGATGCTGCTGACTGGGATCAGAAAACAATCATTAGGGCCAGAGCAAGGCTAAGATAGCAAAGGATGCTACAGATAAGTGTCTGGGCACTACAGATCGGCATCTGGGCACAGCAATGGCCCAGTGCAATACCACAGCTGGCTGGGCAGGAGCCTGGCGGCCAGGGCCCCATCCCATTGCCCCTGGGTTGGTAGGCAGGTTCAACCAAGAGTCTGCATCATCAGGCAAGTTCATGGTGCTGTGTCAGGTCCAGGGTCAAGCCGGGAAGTCAGTCCCAGTCAGTCAGGACCCAGGCACACACAGCTGTGGCTGAGCTGGAGACTGCTACACCGCTGTGTAGTTCATTGGGACTGAAGGGTGACGGCTGAGCTGATTTGGGGCTCCTGGGCCTGTGGGAAGGGTCCTGAGTAGAGCCAGTCAGGGCCATTAAGTCCTGTTTGCGCAGTTGGGGCTCTCACACCTTCCTCCTTTTGCACTGTGGCTGTATCCCCTCCTGGGCAGTGTCGCAGACTAGAATAGAGATGATCTGGATTGGATGGGGAGGGGCAGCTGGGGAATGGGCCCAGAGCAGCAGGAGAATTCAATGGTTTTCTTGGGTAAATGCATTCAGCATCTTCTGTCCTCACCCCATTGCTGCGTGGGGCGAGGCATGACTGTTTTCTTTTCACTGTGCGCTTTGCCAACAGCCCTGCTGCACCCGGGTGACAAGGTCATCAGAGAGGGTGAAGCTACAAGGCAGATCAGGCAGCCTGGAGGATCCTACACCAAAGCACGTGATCCCACTCCATCGCCTGTGAGCACATCCAGGTCAAGAACTGCATCTGGAAAGCAGGCCAAAGAGGCAGAAAATAGGTTTGTTGAAAGAGGGTTTAGGATCTCCTCCTGCTGCTGTGTCACTCCGCTGTGCTCGGTCCCCACCGCATCAGAGGTGGTACCGAGGTGCTGGAGTGAAACATCAGGGTGCTGCAAGGGAGCAGCCAGTGACAGCGAAGAGGCAGAGTCTCCCCTCGGCTGCATGGCTGCTTCTGTATTTCAATGAAGTCATCAGGTTGCAGTGGTGCTGGTGAGCGGTTTGTGGTGCCTGGCAGGAGCATTATGGTCTAGTTGGGTCTGGTTCTGTACCCTGAACTTGCAGAGAGCTACAGAGGTGACAATCTTCTCTCCTCAGAAGGTCCTCCTCAGACTGACCCTACACTGTCTGAAATTCACTCAGAGAATATTCTTGTGGAAGAAAGACAATCCCAAAAAATCGAGCTTTACTCTTCGATCTTGGGTGGCCTTACAGCTGCAGCTACCCTTCTCTTGTTATACTGACAACACTGCATTTCAGTTGTTAAAACCTAACATCAGAACTTCTCACAGCCATTTGCATGGGTTGGTTTTTTTCAGAAAGCAGTAAATAGCACTTTGAAAACAAAAGCTCTGCTCAGGTCTTAAGTGACTGGGACGCCCGTTTAAGAAGTGATGCCTTTGTTCTGAGTTTACCCTGAACATTAGAGGAGTACAAGAATTGGTTCTCGGAGGCAAGCAGCATGGTCCCACCTTCCTCCTGCCAGACGAGGGCTGCCAAAGTGGCAAAGAACTTCCACCTTCCAAAAATTGAACAGTCCAAACTGTTTGGATTGGTGGAGAAACTTTTAGAGGGAAAAAATACAGCAAAGTAGAGCACAACTTTGTTATCTCAGTTAAAGGGTGTTTAGATACTGCAGCGATGGGCAATATGTCAGCTCTTAAGACAGCTTTGCAAGTTGGCATTTCTAATGTAAATAATGTGTAATAATGACAGAGATACCTGATTTATGCAGCACGTATTTGGATCTAACACAAGGAAAGCTGGATTAAAATTCTCTTCAAAAAGGTCATTTGGCAGCCTAGTTTGAAAGGCTGGCAGGTTGAATATGCTGTTGAAGGGGGTCATCATCTCAGTCTGTTCAAACAAAAGCACTCATAACTCTAATCTTGAAAGGGCACGGGTCTGGCAGAGCTTCCCAGAGCCTGGAAGCCCTGGTAGCTGGTTCTTGTCAGTCTCGCTTTTGCCATTCGTAGCAGCAGCAGTGAAACCACCCAGAGTTTTATTTCGTTAAAACACGTTCTTATCTTTTTTTTTTTTTAGGCGGTTTCAAAGGAATAAAATGCAAATGAAGTTTGCGCACGTGAGCAAGTCAAATGACAACAACTTCTGGCCGGGTCATCTTCTGGACAAGATACACCTTTACCTGCCCGAAGCGGAGGCCGGCAGGGCGCACGCCTTGTTCAGCTACGTCCCTTCGACCAAGCCCGTCTGTCCGGGCCTCTACAGCCCCGAGCGCCGCTGACTCTGGGGAGGGGGGCTGCTCGACCTCCGGCCGTGCTGCCGTCAGCCAGACCCGTTTCTTCCGAAGTTCTTCCCTCAGTGGTGCGAGACGCGAGGGCGGCTCGGCGACCCGTCGCTCGGCTCAGGGATCCGGGCCCTGCCGGTGGAGAAGGCGAAGGTATCGAGCCGTACGTCCGGGTTGAGGGTGGAGGAGCTGGACGGGCAGCGCGGTCTGCCGCTGGGCTGGCAGCTCCTCTGCGGGGGACGGGGCCCGTCTTCTCGCGGATCCTCGCCCCGGTCCCGGTCCCGGTCCCGGCCCCGCGGCCGCCCCGGCCCGCCGCAGCCTCGGCCC